AATTTCCCCAGTGCCCTTTATGACTGATTTGCCGTTGATCCCGATTTTTCTTTCCAGATCCTGATTTTTTAACTCTAAAATCCTGATTTTTAGATTTCGTAGAGTGGCAGGTCTGTGATATTGTAATTAAACTTCAGTAAATCTATTTATCTTAAGCCTGGTTTTGTTCACACACTCTCAAAGTCTGTTGTAGTCTCGTACGCATTGTATTGTAAGGATACTCAACTGGGGTGGCTCATAAATAATATGAGTCATCATAAGGTTTTTTGTCACTAGTATTTTGTATGGTAGATACTGTAGTGCAGTTTATGATTATTCTGACATAATTTTCAATCAGAATGTGGGTTTTTTTTCATCTTCTTCAAGGAAGTCTTCCTGTGCTTTTCCGTTTGATCACTTTTTGTCTCTATTAATTTTGCTTAAAATTGTTGTTTAGTAAAATGTGCAGATAACCTTTGACTGAATTTGACTTAAAGAAAACAAGTGCAAGTGGGCACTCAGTGATCGAGTGGTTTATGAACATAGTTCAAATGCAAATTCTAATGTCAAGGAACAAAACTGTGAGATGGGAGGTTATGAAGGTGTGTCATAGAGCAGGACAAATTAGCCTATTTCAAAAACGGGTCACTGCTTATGGTTTCTATCAATGGTGTGTTTGTTAATTAAAGATTTTTGTTGTTGTCTCCTTTGTTTGAAAAATCCTTTTTTTTTTTATTTTGTGCTTGACTGTGTATATTTCCTTTGTATGAAGACTTTCTAAAGAGAAGAAGGTAAGGTGTTGTGAGTTGTCCTGTGGTTAACCTACGGGGCGTAATCTTGAGATTGTTGGTTCAGGGATTCAAAGCTCAGCCTGTCCAATGTTGTGTCCTAATGGAAGGCACTTAACATGAAATTTCCCTTTGGCTCGGTCCTTTCAGAGATGGACAGGGTGGCTCTCGAGGCCTAGAAGTTAAGGTGTTCGTCTCTCATTCAAAGGTCCCTGGTTCAAATCCTGGTAGCGACGGAAAAAATGTTCTTCTCTAAAATAAAATTGTCTCCTTTCACCTCCTTTCCTGCTCTCTAGCATTGTTCTGTCGTCTGCTTTCATATCCACTTTCTGCCCTCACCTCCTTTGCCCCCTCTTCTTGGCTCCTGGCTCTTTCTACTGCTACTCCTTGGCTCCTTCTTGCTGCTGTCTTTCAGCCACACCCTTCTCTTCTGGTTGGAAAGATCTACACCTAACCTTTTCGGACAAGGGCGAAAAATCTCAGAGGTCCCGTGTGCAAGTTGCCCACATTGAAGATCCCTTGGTGGTCTAAAATCGATAAAAATAGGCTTCTGCAGCCACCGAGGCAAAATTCTAAATTTCCTACAACTGAAAATGTTTTTTGTGACCTTATGTAGTTGCGAGTGTCATAAAACTATTACCCCCCCCCCCCCCCCAAAAAAAAAATAAGAGATGGACATTAAATTCGGAAGTCTTCCCTTTTGAATAATCTTACAGTGTTTCAAGGGGTATTAAACCTATAATTATACAATTTCCGAATTTCAAGAACAAGTAAAGTGACCTTTTCTAACCATTTTCTTTTGACCAACTCTACGGGTTCCTGATTCTTAAATGATCTAATTGATTCAATGAGGACATGACACTTTCACAGTTACACTTATGTGATGTGATTTTTGTTTGCTTTCCATAATCAGGACCCAGACCAGAGTTGTATCTTGGACTTCTTTTCCTCACCACGACAGAACTCAAAGACCTCGGCTCAGGCACCAAAGCTACAGAAACCACTACCTCTGCAGCGACATCCACTCCTGAAAGGTAAAGGGTTGTAGATATTTCTGGTATACAGCCCATTAATTCTCTCTTTGATTTGTTCAGTTTAATTGAAAAGAAGCCAACGCATAAAACATTGTTGTGTTTTGTTAGGATCATGCCACTATTGCCCTCATCAGTTTCTGGGGATTTCCAGATAAAGCTGTTATTTGAATTAAGACATTAAGGGATATTTTACAATATGTGTCACGACACGGATGAATCGGGCACTCGTCAATTTTTGTACATGTGGAGTTATTGGTATCATCTTAAAGATTATTCATTTATCTTGCTTTAGATGAAAAAAATACCTATCTATCTTGAGCAGAAGTGAAGATATTTGTGATTGAAAGAGATAAGTTCACTTGGTTTCAGCGGTAAAAATAGCGAGAAAATGGACACCAAAGATTGGTAGCGTCAATAGCTAAAGAGTCCTTGAAAACTGAAAAATTACCTATTTTGAGCTTTTAATCAACGTTTTTCAATATAATTCACACAGAAATGTGTTTTTCTTTGGACTTAAAAGGGCTGAACTAAAAACCAAAAATTTGATTAAGATTGTGAAACTGGTGGGAAAATGCCTGTTTAATCCAATTTTGTTATTTTGACGAGCGCCTGATTTCCCCCCGATGCCTTACAAATGGCTTTATCACTGTTTAGAATTTTTTCATCAAGTCATCATCTTGGCATTACGCATGGCACTGAATATCATTGATCATGGAATGGCCTATTAGGGCACTTTCTTTTCTATAATTTTCTCAAAACTTCAAAAATGATTAAGGTGCTTGTGGAATATGTGTGTTTATTTTATAGCCGCATGGCAGTTTAATATGGATACAAGGTCACTGTCTTGTTTGTATTTTGAGGCTGTTTAAGGAGTAGACTGTTGACATGTTCAGAGTGTCATGGTGTCAGTCTCGCAGGTAATTACTGAACATTGGAGCAAACATTGTTTGTGTAAATTACATCATGCGATGGAAATTTGTTCTGAAAATGTGTTGAAACTGGAGATTCCTACTGATTCATTTGAATATGTTTTCTCTCTTGACATAAGGAATGCAGCATGTTTTTCTTTACATATATGCACACTGCAGAGTAAGAGCGTGCAAATACACTCACATACACAGTCTCGCACAGTGGTAACTCTTACAGCAGTTTTGCTCTGTGTTTGGTCTTTTTTCTTCTTCCTCTAATTTTCTTTGTACATTTTGTGTCTTTTCATAGATGGTAAGAATGTTTCACTAATATGTAAGTTCTTCACTATCCCTCTTTTGTTTGTCTGCTTGTCTGTCGAGACTTCCCCAGCACTAAATAGCCATTATTGTTTCAATGTGCTTCTCAATCGAACAAGCATGAAATCCATAGATGCTACCATGAGTGTGATGAATAGTCATCTGTCTCACTAACAGGGGTAGCAACTTCCCCTCTAGTGGTCAGCCTCTCCAGTATAATGGCAGCATTCTTCTCTCCATGTTTATTGTATCTTTGGTCACGCTTCCTTTTATGTTCATCTCTAAGCCAATGGTTTTGGCCTGCAGACAACTCCCCCCCTCCCCCCCCCCCCCCCCCCCCCCAAAAAAAAAAAAAAAAAAACACAGTGTGAGGCACCCACTGAATGACTTGTTGTGTCTGGTGAGGTAGTAAACTTGTACAAGAACTGAGCTGAACATGTCTGCATGTCTTCAAACCTGCAGAAAACTCTGTAAAGTGACAGAAGAGGTTTGACCAAACCTTGTGTTTCTCCAGAAGAGTTATTTTTAAGGCAGGTGAATAAGCTGCAAAAGACTGTCAAATTTATTATTGAAGTTGGCTTAAAAATAAAAAGGAATGCGAAAGTAAGAAGATACAAAAACAAAAGGATAACCAGAAAAAAAAATGTTCTATAATATTGTTTTTCTCACAGGTGACAAGTTCCAAAAGCTCAGAGAAACTGGGCCTCTCAAGTCTGGCAAAGAGCAACGGTGTGTGGGACAGTCTGAAGCAGATGATAGGAAGTCTACCTGCAATACCAAAAACAAAAAGCTTCTTGATGTTATTGTGCTAAGTAGTGAAGATGAGGCTAATGTATTCAAACCTGTATTCAAAAGAAGAAAGAAAAAACAAAAGAGCAAACTGCAAAAGAGCAAGGTTAAAGAAAAGGTGGCTTTGCCAGCTCTAGAAACTAGAACAGCAAACTTTCAAAAGGAAAACACTGCAGAGGTATGTGCTGCAAGTAATGATGAAGACACTGATAGTTCTCTTCCTGACATTCCTTGCATTGTGAAAAGGAAAAGTGAACCAACTATCGTGAAACAAGCAAGCGGCAAGGAGAAATGCCAAGGGGCTGATGTGGGCGCTGTGTTTAAGTCTGATACTGTGATAGCTTCTGACTTGGGGGCAACCTCTGCTACGTCTCAGATGAGAGGCAAAAGTAAACATTGTAGTGAATTAGGGGAAGGGGAGAGTCGAAAAGTGCTGGTCATCAGAGGTTGTGAGGAGCAGACTGCAAGTGGGGATGACAACTCTGTGATCAAAGAGATTCTGAACTCTCACTCTACTGAATCATTAAAGTCTAGGGTAATGACAGTTGACTCTCATTCCACTGAATTGTCTCTGTCTGAAAGTATCAAATCTGACTCTTTCACTGTTGCTGTGGGCATTGAGTTAAAAACTTTTTCCGAAGAAGTTCAAGGTCCTGTGGCAGAGAATGTAAAAGATGTTGCTGTATGTGGTGATGAGTGGAGCTGTCCTGCGTGCACATTGGTAAACCACATAGACCGATCACGCTGTGAAGCTTGCAACACTTCGAGGCAGAGCATAATTTCCACTCACAAAAGATCGAATGAAACGAGTATAATATGTCCTGCGGAGTATTCATCTCCCTCGAAAAAAAGAAAGCTCTCCTCAGATAGTGGTAAAAATGAACCAGATCATTTCTTGTCCAATTCAAATTCTGTGAGAATCTGTGGAGATATGAGTGTCAAGGATAAAGCTGATCTATCAACCACTGGCCACTCCTTCACTCAGCTCAGGAGCCAGGAGGTGCATATGGTCAATGATGGACGTAAGCCTTGTGCCACAACTCCTCCAAATACACATGCGAAGGCAGAAGAGGATTCTCATATTCATAAACTAAAGACATCACCTCCAGCCTGGGTACAACTTAACAGATGTGACTCTCCAGATTTGTTTGATGACAGTGGGGATTCAGAGCTTTTGAAGGATACTAGCAACAAATCTGGTGAGTCGAGCTTGGCCTCCGACAATAATGTGATCGACAGAGATGTAGGGGAGATGTGTAAGGTGTTTGGGGATGGTAATAATCTAGCCTCTCGTGATATATCAACAGTTGTGTCTCAAGAGATGTATGACAGCCTTGGAGAAGCAGCTGATGGTGGTTCAGACCCTGTGGAGAAGGAACTGGCACCAGAGCTGTCAAGTCCAAGATCATATTTGTCTTCTCCCTCAGCTGAAAGGAAGTTGTCACTAGCTGATAATACTACTGACTGTTCTGCTAACTCACAGGAACAAAGTTTGAAATTCCTTTCGAGTGATGCACTCATTCCACAGTCAGATCTGACGTGCAAAACGAAAAATTATCTTCCGGAAGCCAACTATCTCTCCTGTGCTGACACTGTGACTGGTACTCCATCGGTCTGTGATAAAGCGTACCTGACCGCCAGCTCTGATCAGCCGACCGCTGAGTCAGCATCATCTGACCCGCGGAGTTTTCACCAAGTGCTCAAGTTCAGCTGTAGTGTTCATACTGGTCGGATCTATGTCTTTGACCAGGTGAGAATGTTGTTAGGCTTATGCTGTATTGTTGCATAGACATTCATTTACAATGCTATTGGTCAGGTTGTGCATCCATTATGTTCAAAGCTTACTGAAGGATCATAAATATGTGGGGGGGGGAGTTGAAAAGACACTTTATGTGGTTTGTTAATTAATTTTTTTTTAAAGCATTTCACTCAAAGGGCTTAAGCATTCCAGTTACCAGCTATAGTCTTTTAGAATTGCTCAAAATATTTCAGCAGAAATTGTATAAGACACCCACCCGTTCTAGAGTTTTATTTTAAAAGACCGTATATATCTGGTTTGGTAAAAAGTTCAGGCAAGCCAAAAAAACCCCACATCTTTGCCTCTCAGCAGCCACTTTCTTTGAATATCTTCAAAACACTTCCCCTGCCTTATTCATCCATCAACATATCGATACCAGATTGCGACAGAAATGTTTGCAGAATTTTAGACTATCAGGTGGAATAGATAAAACAAAGTCATTGTCAAGGAGAAATATGACTGTCATATTAAAACAGGTGGGGGACATGGACAATGGCATAATAATGTAAAATAAAATGCAAGGGGGAAGAGGAAGTGGTCATTTGTACAGGTGCAGATGGTCAGGGTGATATGGGCATGAAATTTCACCTCTGCTTGTGAAAGGGCTAGAGTGGCGCTCTTGCAGGGAACTTTCCTCCTGGATAGGCAGAGGTGTGAAATTAATGTGGCCTGTTCCTGCCGCCCTGATTGTTCGGCCAGCCAAGAAAAAAGCTCCTCAAATTGTTGTTGCACGCACAGGAGGGATGGTAGTGGTTGATTTTGCTTTACATTAATGGGCGAGGCAAAGGGTGGAAACAAAGAAGACGTTCAATCTTTTCCGTTTTTAATTAGTCAAACAATAGTCCTGTGAATATAAGCAGTGGTGACAATAGAAGTAAGACTAACGCTTGCCATTAACAGAGGGGTTAGGATAGCACTTGGGAGGAGCGAAATTTTTACTACTGCTTGTTAAACGGATAGGCAACCCTTGATCCCACTGCGTACAGGCTGGCCCTCTGGACCTGGACACACACATACACACACACACACACACACGCACGCACGCACGCACGCGCACACACACACATACACACACACACACACACACACACACACACACACACACACCCAACCTCATCCAAGATCTTGAAGCTGCTGTGAATTTTTTTTAAAAGACGTTTGTCAGAGTACACGAGAAACCTTAAAATAAAAGCTCATACTGTGCTCAGAATTTTTTTCGGACTCCCTTGCGATTCCATCTCGGACAGGTTTGACAGTGATTTTAACTGTTGCTATTGGGTTATGATGCTCAAAGAAATCTAGTAGACCAGTGACAACACATGTCTTGCCTTTCTTCACTATCAGTAGTTTATGCTATTTTCTACATGTAGGAGGTGGTGTCAGTAGCCTAGTGGTTAAAGTTCCGGACCCGTAATCTCACGATCCTCAACTGCGAACCTCAACTCGGTCCAACGATGTGTCCCTGGGAAAGGCACTTTACATGAATTTCCTATATTTGGAACGGTCCTTTCGGGGATAGATGTTTAACTCGGAGGTCTCGCCTCTTAAATAACCTAATAGTGTTGATAGGGGCGTTAAACCATTTTTTTTTATATAAGGGAGGGTACCAAAATACGGTACCTTCTGTTTAGTTTGTGGTTTTTACTATCTTCTTCATGTACAAGGGTCAATCCACCTTCTTTTTGGTCAGAAGTTTTTCTCTTGTCTTTAACTCGTAGGAGGGTACCTACCTTCAAGCGAATTTCCTGCCAGTCGATGTCCAAGTGGACAACTTCTCTGAGCTCCCAGAGGAGCTCCAGCACCCGCTTTGCAAGAAGTTATTGCAACGATTTGTTGGAGAGTGGACAGAGTGAGTGGAAAGCTATGCCTTTTATTATGTGAATTTGTCTTGTCTGGGCTCCTTGCTCTTGCGTCTTCTCTAGTTACTTTTAATGAGTTACTTTTGGTCTGCCCCTGCTTCTTTTTGCCCTTTTATTTTTCCAGTAAAAGCATGATGTTAAAGGCATTCTTCTTATTCAATTAAAATGTCATAGGAACTGCACTTGTCTCTTCCTAATGGTTTTTATTGGTGTCCTCCCCATACTGGCATCTGTTTTAGTTCTAGCCAGAGTTGTTCTGTACTTGCAACACAATAAGGTCATATTAGTGCTGAAGATTCGAGTTGTTAAAATACAAGAGAGTATTATATGTGTGTGTCACGACGCTGTGGAATCAGGCGCTCGTCAATTTATGGGTACGTAAGAGATATTAATATCATCTTAAAGTAAGTTAAAGCTTGTTCATTTGTCCTGAATTTGGTGAAAAAAATATCCGTCTGTCTGGAATAGAAGTCAAGATATTTGCAATTAAAAGAGGAGAGGGTCGCCTGGTATATGAGGTAAAATTAGCGAGAAAATGGCCGCCAAAGTTTGGTAACTACCGAAGCATGAGTGTTCTTGGAGACTGGAAATTTACATTTTTAGTGCCTTTAATTTTTCGTTAACATCCACGCAGAAACACTTTTCTAAAAGGACATAAAAAGTGTTGGGCCGAGAAAAGAACATTCGAAAAAAAATGCCCAGAGAAAGGCCATTTTCTTTCATTTCATTGTTTTGACGAGCGCCTGATTTCACCACGCGGCCCCACTCATAGGTGCTGAAGATTAGAGGTGTTACAAGAGAGTAACAAACACAAAAAAGGAGAAGGAGAGATAAGGATATGGACAATAGATGTTTGGTAGGAAAGAAGGAGCAAACCACATTAGAGAATCTGCCAACAACCCCCTCACTGGCTTCTTTTAGCACAAGCAGGCCTTTAATTTGTGAAAAATGGCATGTATTTATCTCTTGCTTGAGTTTGAAATACCCTCTCGTGACTGTTGTTTCCCTCTTGCCTGCCAGATTGAGTGACACCAAGCGAAGACTTCTTGCCAAGCAGGGTCTCGTGTTCTCCAGTCCCTTGCATGCCTACGACCTGGTCAAATCAGGAGATAAGAACAAGAAAAGACATCTCACGAAAGTAAGCTCTCTGTTTTCTTTTGTTTTGATACGTAAATTTATGACAGCTAAATGGTATGTCATTTATTACTTCTTTTTTTTTATATAGTATGAGAGTCAAAGAATTTTGATGCAAAATCTTCCTTTGTTATGTAATGATAATAAATGTGTAATTCCAGTCCTTAAATGCTCATGTTCATTTTCAAGCTTAGCATCTTTTTTTTTGTCTATTTGCTGAGTGGAGTGCAAGAGTGCAGAGACATTTTTTCTTTGTATTTCTGAAAATGTACCAGTTTTACTGTACTTTGTTTTTATGTATTTTTTATTCAGCTTTCTTTCTACAACAAATGATTGTACAGTTTGGATTCTCTTGTGGCACTTGTTACATATTTGGGCTCTGGTTGTGTCTACTACTTCAGTGGCTTGTTGTTCTGTGCTTTTATTGCACTTTTTTTTTCACCTGGTGAAATACTACTCATCGCCACCATTATTGTGCCTACTGCTAGTAAATTACAATTTAATTCATCTCAGTTCAGGATGTTCTCTCCTCAATCCTGTACTCAAGGGCGGCCCCCCCCCCTCCCCCTCATCTTACATTATCTGACTAAAGACTGATCTCTGACTATCTGACCTCAGGAGGACACACTTGCAGCAGCACAGTCTGCAGCTGATGCCTTAAGAGGTCATGTCAGGGTCATAGGGAAGCGCACTACGACCCTTGACACAGTTTCCTCCGACAAGGTCAATGAACAGGCCAAAGGTGTGGCTCAGGTAATACACTGAGCTAGCATAGATCTTCTGTTGATGTTATTTTTAGGGAATGAAGACAATTTTTTTTGTCCTTTTACATATTCATACATTAGAAATTAGACTTGAGGTAAAGTTGATAAAAAGAAAAACACTTTCCACTGTGGAATCTTCCATTAGCTCTAAGCATGACGTAGATGTGCTGGAAAAAAAATATATGCACTTCTATTTGCTGATAAAGCAGATCCCTGTCAATAGATGGCACCCTGAAAATTTGCTTTCATAACAGTTTACTGAGCTAAACATTCTCTCAACTCTTTCACTACCGTATTTCACAGCTCGTGTTACTCCCAATGCTGGACCTGCTTCAAAACCGCACCTACTTTTGTAATTATCAAAACTGAAATCTCAGGCTGAAGAATGATCATTTTTAGCAACATGTTGAGAAAGATCATTATTTCCCCCTTGTTTTTTTTCATATGTATATATAAAAATATATATATATATAATAGACCTACATGTGGCTAATATTGAAAATTGAACTCAGAATCTTTAATTTGTCAGTGGGTTGGCAGAATCAGCAAGTAGATCACGTGGCCCAGTCCAGGTGAGGAACCCCCCCCCCCCCTCCCTGGTAGTGAAAGAGTTAATCTATAACGCAGGATTGTTTCATGTCCCACTGGCTGGAGTTTGCTGATCACATAGCGAAATGGGCAGGTCCTTGAAATAGTTTCCATTATAATATGTATGAATTGACCTCTATGTGTATGTTTTAAATATAAAATGTTCGCCATGTGCATTCTAGTCTGTACGTTTAAATTGAACTTCAAGCTTTATCACTCACTCTTACCTTTTACCTGTCCTTAGGCTGTTGTGGAGGATGGTACTCCTGTGTGCTTGCAGTGTCAGAAGCCTTACAAGAACCCATTACTGTCAGCAGAGACCATTTCAAACCCCAAGAACGCATGGCAGTTACGTCTTTGTTCTTACCCATGCATGGACAGATATTGGGTAAGTATAATTTTACATTCAGTGCTACCGCTATGACCAATAAATATTGCGTGTCGTAGGCTTTTTTTTTTTTTTAAAATAGTAGAGGGTTTTACGGCACTCGCAACTGCATAAGGTCATATGAGCACCAAGGGGTGGGTGTCAACAGAGAAGTCTTTACAGGGAATCAGACTTACACTGCTCACCTCTCGAGCTTCAACAGCACAAGGTCTGCTTCGACTATCAAGGCACCCCGGAAATAGCAGGTCACAAGAGAGTGACAAACATACAAAAGAAGTAGAGGAAAATGACGATAGTAAGGATCAGGAAAGAAAAAGCAACAGTTCCCTGTTGTACATCAGGCAGTTATGAGCGTTACATGAGTCAGCCCATTTACAATTCTACTATGCTTGAACGAGAAATCCCCCCTTTGGGAATGGCCTAAAGACACTACAGTCAGTGGCACTGCCCCGAGAGGGTGTTGTTGTAGTCTTACAAGATGGGGCCTCACATATTATATAGTGCAAGTCTTAGCTGTAGCTTGAAAGTCTAGCCTGGTCTTCTGCTGTGACCAGTATACATGCTTTACAATAATCCACAACTTCAAGTCATAGTTTTCGGATGAATTTTGGAATGGCAACTGATCTACAGTTAAAAGAAAGTGCATTACATGGTGAAAGTTGCAAATTGCAAACTGGAACCAAGGGGACGTAATTGATGTTTACTTTTTTTCCTCAAACAGGCATTATGCTGTTATTGCCCTTGGATTCTGACACGAGCTAGACATGGCTATTAAAATAATATTATTATAAGATTTAATGTGCTCTATCTGCTAACTCTCACTTTTGAAAATTTAACCCTTTGAGCCCTGACGCTGCTGACCCTAAAATACCCCCTGTCCGGCCATTTTAAGATAATTTCACATGAGTAACAACAAATAGACCAGAACAAATACGTAGCACACAAAAGTAAAATATCCTCACAGAAACTAATCAGAGTTGCCTGCTCCACATCTGGAGCCAGTGGATAGTTTTTTGCGCACACTGTATTACCTGTATTACCTGTCGTGGGCAACAACGTCATTGCACACCGGACAGGTCCATAAGTGCTCAGTTCCCCCCAGCACCAAAGCCCGCAAGGTATCCATACTGATTGTTCCGGTGGCTGTCTGATTATGGCGACGTCTTTCCTTTCCAGATAATCGTTCCTTTCTTCCTTCTCCCCTCTCTATCCCCATTTCCCGCATCCTAATGATTGCGAGGTGTTCTGCTGTCTCCTTGTCTTCTTCATCTCGCAACTTTTTCTCCAGGGTCTTCAACAATTCTCCTTTGTCAAATTTCACCTCACCATCAACCACGGCACTGCCTGCCAGCCTATCAGCCTCCTCAATGCCTTTCACTCCAGAGTGCCCAGGACAGAATATCCACGTGATTGTTCTAAGTGATGAGTGTTGTATTTGGTTCATCCATTCACTCCGAAGAAGCCCTTTCTCAACCCTTCGCAAGATGCTCTGGGAGTCCGTGACAATGATGAAATGAGTTTTCTTGGTCTTGTATTATGAAGCCATGCAAGCGCTCTTGTTACGGCCTCAATCTCCACTTTCATGCTTGAAGTTGTTCTTTCTATGGCCACTGACATGCCATGAACCTTTTTGTTCCCACTGTACAACACAAAACACCATCCACTTCTCTCACCCCTCCCTACCGGTCCATTCGTATAGATCACTGGGTCCTCTGGCTTGGAATGCTCCTCAATTAACTGTCGTATATCATTGTCGTTAATGACAGCAGCACATTCCCGTCTTTCACGACCCATAGTGATGTGAACGTTGGCCAGGCTTCTGCAATCGGGGCTCAGTTCAAACCACTCCTTTTGCACACACGTTTAGGCCTAGTAGGGCCTGGCTCAGGCTCACTTGGATCCGGGACTCCCAGACCGGTGAAAGGGTTTATCAGGCTATGCATCGAATAAGTTCCAAACCGGTCAGAGGGTTTTTCGGGTTCCAAGGGTTAATATGGTACGGGGTTTTGTAAATTATAAATTAAAAAGACTGTGGAACTCGGATTTAACGAGCTTGAATTCAACATGAGAACTTGGATTGAACAAAAAGAGATGGATTCCCCTTTTTTTGTTCTTCTTTAATTCAATAAAAATAACCCCGGATTCAACGAACACTTAAATCAGCCAACTCGGATTCAACGAGGTCGCTTCCAGGGTGAACAGCCCCAACAGACGTGGCTTCGCTCATTTTTCTACCACACCGAACTTTATCTATTCCCGGAAACCATCCATTGCACCTACATCGTGAATCATTCACTTAACCGATTGTATTCAACCAATCTGAATCAGCAGCCTTCTTTCATACCAACACCTACGTTGTTGGCACGTGCACGTGTCTACTCTAGAGTGCATCGGGGTCGGATGGGAGGCCTGCACACATGTGACTGTGTGTGCATTATTGGGGAGGGGGGGGGGAGGGCACCATCGTTCCAGGCATGGAACTTCACAGTCTATACAAACGCGTCAGTCTTTTTTTCCCCTGGCAACTGATCATTATTACAATTATAAGCTAGTCTTGACATAGACCTACGTAATGCATTGTGCGCTGGTCTATGGAATCAAAAGTTGCCGTCTGCTAGGCTCTACACAGCAACACAACTTTTTTGCAAACAATCGAGATGACACAGGCGTGCATTTGAACAAATCAGTCTTGTTTTTTTTGCTCAGCTCATAATATGCAGGCATTTCAGGCACCACTTGTTACTTCTCTTTATACATTTCTTGCTCAGTGCCTGTAATTATCTACACAAAATCTCATGTTTTTCTATAGATGTAACGAACACTCGGGTTCAACAAGATTTTAGGTCAGGCCCGACGACCTGTTGAATCCGAGTTCCACTGTATGTTAGCATTTCAGTTTCAGAATTTTCTGTTAGCGTTTTTCTTGGTAGATGTATCTTGGTTTATGTGAGTGTTTCAGTTTCACTTCCAGAACTTCCTGATAAACACTTTTCATGGGAGATGTATCTTGGTTTATGTGAGTGTTTCAGTTTCACTTTCAGAATTTCCTGATAAACACTTTTCTTGGTAGATGTATCTTGGTTTAGAATAGTTGGAGTTACAGCTTGTATTATTGTTGTCTTCTCCGTGGATAAAAAAATATATGCCTTTATCCCTGACTCTGGCTTGGAATGGTCTGGTCTTATCAGCTCATTACCCGCTTTAACTGTCTAGTCATATTCTTTTAAGCTGTTGTTTATTTTCTTGCTGTTGTTGTTATCGATCCAGATTTATTTTCTGGCTAAAAATGTACACCATGTAACACGGAAATAAAAGGACGATATCTTTTATAATAGAATAATTATTATCATGTGTAAATGGTTTTTCAATTTCCTTACAAACACAGAAGAGCAGAGCAATGTCTTTTTAGCTCAATCTCCCCCAGCCCCTCGAAGTGGAGGGGTACTGTCTGTCCCCACAGTTTTATGCACAAAAAAATTCTGAAATTATGCAAACTGAGCCCAAAATTGTGGAAATTATGCGATTTTGTTAATTTTAACAAAGAATGGTAAAGGAAAATAATCAGGAATTGTGCAAAAAACGAGAAAATTTTGCTAAATTATGCGGGGTGCATAAAACCCCGGGGACAGTACTGTGAATACTCTCACTCTCAGCACACTAGCAGGATGTTCTACCTGACGGGATAGCAGACATGAATACGTAATAAACATGGTCTATGATAAGGTGTATCATCTCTACCTGCTCTCCTTCCTGTTTCATTATTCTTGCCCCTGATTTTTGTGTTTCTCGTTTGCAATAACCTACTTGGTCAGCAAGCTGTTCAAATGTTCTAAGTCCAGAGAGCAAAATTTTTCAGGAGAGAAAAAAAAAGTTTTATTTTTTTTAAATAGTTGTACCTCTACTTTGTGGGGGGTTCTTGCTTTTTTATTTTTTCAACATCTACAATTTAGATTTTGACAAAGTGTTTCTTCGGCAAACTGCAATTTTTAAAAAATTAAATTAAAAATTTGGGGCTTCAAGCATCTGAACAGCTGGCCAACGATTTGTGTTTTGTTCGACGTCGACTTCATTTGGAAACATACTATTTATAAGAGTGCCCCCTTTGTTTTGGTGGCGTCGGTAGCCTAGTGCTTAGGCTACCGGACTCGTGATCGTGAGATTGCGGGTTCGGGGGTTTGAGCCTCAGCTCGGTCCGACGTTGTGTCCTTGGGAAGGCACTTTACACGAATTTCCCACTTGGCTCGGTCCTTTCGGAGACAGAAGTTAAACTAGGAGGCCCCACCTCTTAAATAACCTAATAGTGTTGATAGCGGCATTAAACCCGTACCATTTCGCAATTTCACCCTTTGTTTTGGTCCAGATCCTGACCCATGCCAGCTATTGCCGTGACCAGCTCTTTGACATTCAGCGCGGTGTCTGCCAGCTCTGTCAGCTGGATGCTCACAGCTTCATCACTCGTCTCAAGTATGTCCTGTGTGTTTTTCTAGCAGTGTTGTGTATACACGTGTTTTCTGAAGGACCAGCCATTCAGATGAACTAAGCCCAAAATTTTGGAAACTTTGTGAGATTGCAGTCTCTTAATTTATGGCATCGGTTGATGGTGCTCAAGAAATATTTTGTAGAAATTCAAATTCTAAATGTTCAACGAAAAAAAAGCAACAAAATATGCAAATTACGTAGGTAGGCTACTATTGATGAAAGAATGGAACAGGTTTTTTTCTCTATCCTGAAAAATATAGCTTTTTGGGCTTAGTACAATTGAAAGGCTAGCTGATGATGTGGGATTAACATCTCTTCTTAATTTGAACGTATGGTGTCCCAAATGTCATGTGTGTGGTCTGTGTTCTCACGAGGGTGTTTCATGTATTTTGTGTAGGCCAACATGTATTAGATCTACCTCTACGTCCATATATTGCTATTCTCAAATGTGTGTCTTGTGTGTGTTCAGAAGAGTGTTGTGCATGTGTTCTTTCAAGCATGTTGTATTTGTGTACTTTCATGTACGGTACTCGTATAATTTGTATGTGTGCATGTTCCCATCTATGTGTTCTTAAGAAGAGTATAAAATCCCAGAGTTACCACCCAACCGGGAAAAATGGGAAAAAAGACAGGAATTTCATTTTCAGACTTCCTTGTTGCGAAAACACCATGAAAATGAAAATGACCGGGAGAAAGCCCGAAAATTGGAATCAGGGGTGTAGTCTACGTCACATTGTCATGTGCAGCTGTCTAAATCTAACTTTAACACTGTCTAGTTGCCACTCAGTGTTATCATGCCCTTTTAAATAAATTTTTAAAATATGATATCGGTTGCACCAAAGCTAGGAATAATTTGTCACGGTACTGAAAAATTCCAGGGCTTTTGCGTTAGGGGGTCTGGCTCAGGCCAACGAGAGAAATAAAAGAAAAAAACGGACGTAGTTTGACACTGGAAACAATCGGCTGCTTGGGTGGCATGTTTTGTAGTGATGTACAATCAGGATCAAAGGTTTATGACGTATCCCGTGGGTTTCTTTAGATTTTGAAAGATTAAACTCTAAATCGGGTGTGGGCAACAAATGGCTAACAGGCTGTGGGCCACAATATGACCTGCTAGGCCAGTCAGTGTGGCCCTTACTTTACTTCTTTTTTTTTTTAAATTAAAATTTATACACTCTGTGTTATTAGATTACATACTTGGATTGTGACTGGCCATAATTGTTGCTCCAATATGTGACCCACCAGTAAAAAAAATATTGAAAAATGTTGCACACCCCTGCTCTATAATTATAATTATATCGCTCAGAAATTTTGAACTGTTGTCTTTGGATTCTAGTACCATGTCAGTGCGCTTTTATTTACCTAACAAAATGCCTTGGGTTCTTTCCTCAGATGCACGAAAGACCTAGTTGTTCGGGCTGAGCTCCTCAATAAGAGCCCATTCCGATGTCTCGGCAGCAAACAGAAAAAATTGATTATCACTCAACCATCACCAGGACAGGTAACTGCTCTGTGCGATTCATTCATAAATAACTAGAACTAGCTGGGCCCCCTTTCGATGAAAGGGATGATCGGTGCATTAACATCAACTGAAAGTCATAGGACTACTATATTTACACTCTATTGGAATGGAAAAATAATTCTTAAGAGATGCAAAAAATTAGAAGGTGTAGATCTAGATCTATACTCTCGAAACAAAATGTGCCTCGCAAAATATCACTTCGGCACCGGATTTTCTAAAATTGCAGAGACAGAGGCGTCGGCCTACAAAAGCGATCGGCGAAATAAAGAAATTTAGCTTTTTGCAGCAAAACTGTCTCAAAACTGAAAAAACGAAGGGCGCCATGATCTGGAGATTATTTTAAAGAATCTTTTCGTGAAAACCGCATGTCGATCAATGCAGCCATTAAAAAGCCTTTTGAATAGCAAAATTCGGCCACCACAAATAGATAATAGATAATGAGAACTCTGGATCTACTAACCTCTTCTTAATTCCCATTTATTTCTCCGACTCTGTATTCACTGCTCTTAACTCTTTGTCATCACAATCACAAGGCTCAGAGTAAAAAACATGCGGATAACTTGAGAACGACAGATGTACGCCATTGGCTGATATTTATAGTAACAGCCATCTTGTTTGATGTCATTGAGGGATTCCCACTTAGTTGTCGTTCACGGTGGCAACACGACCGCAAAGCACAATTGCAGTATTTTTAAAGCCTGTAGCTTACGGTGGCATGGTGGCGGAGTGGTTAGTGCGCTTGTCTCCAAAGCAGAAAGTCCAGGTTCGAGCCTCGTTTCGGCCACGGATTTTTAAAAAAAATGTTTTTTAAATCCATCAAAGTCACGACATCACATGCTTTTTCAGTTATCTTACTTATTTTTTTAGAAATTTAAAAAAATAAAAAAATTAGTCCTTTACTTCCCCAACTCGAAGTCAGCTACCCATTACAGGTGGGTGAGCAGAGGGGGCGGGAAAAAAAATCTGTGGCAGAACCGAGGCTCGAACCTTAACTTTCTGCTTTGGAGACAAGCGCTCTAACCACTCCGCCACCACGCCACTGTCGTTCTCAAGTTATCCGCATGTTAATAAAAACTCTTGCCATCAAAAGCAAAGGCATTTTGGGGAAATCCAAAGAAACTAGGTGGTAAACATCTCCAATCGGCGAGGTGTGACGGCAAAATGTTACTGATGTAATGGAATCAATTAGTTGCTCATAGAAGATTTCAGTGCTTGCAAGAGAGGGGGGGGGGGCACTAGCATTCCGGGCGTTGAACGTCGCAGATAGAAACGCGTCACAGTCTTTTTTCCCCCTCGGCAACTGATCATTATTACAATGATAAGGTAGTCTTGAAGTAGATCTACATAATGAATTGTGCACTGGTCTATGGAATCAAAAGTTGCCTATGCTAGGCTCTACACAGCCACACAACTTTTTGGTGAACAATCGAGATGACTCAGCCGTGTGCATTGAACGAATCGGCTCTTTTTTTACACAGCTCATAATATGCAGCCATTTCAGGCACTACCTGTGACTTCTCTTTATACATTACATGCTTAATGCCTGTAATTATCTACACAAAACCTCATGTTTGCTATAACGAACACTCGGATTCAACGAGATTTTAGGTCAGGCCCGGCGACCTCGTTGAATCCAAGTTCCACTGTATTGTAGAGTGCCTATAGTGCTTAACAACAGGGGCTACATGACCAATGTATATCTCATGTGTGGGTGGTTGGCGGGTGCTCTAGTGTGGTTTGCTCCTTCTTTCCCATCAAACATCTGTCACCCTTATCTCTGCTCCTTCTTTTTTGTTAATGTTACTCTCTTGTAATACTTCTATTCTTCGGCACTTATATGGCCTTATTGTGTTGCAAGTGCCGTAAAACTCCTACTAAAAACTAAATAGTGTCTTTTGCAGGCTGTAGTGAAGAGCCTAATCATTACATCACAGCACTTACAGCCTTCTGGGAGCCAGGCAGTGCGTTACTTCACATGATTATAATGATTTTTATTATTAAGATGGTTTATATTAATAATAAGGCAATGTTTATCTCTAGGAATCAGGCAGTGTGTAAATTCACATTATTATTATTTTTATTATTAAGATTGTTTATTATTAAGTGTATTAAGACAATGTTTATTTGTTTTTTTTCCCCTGTTTGTGTTGACCTAGTTCTGGCAAGTGGATCACATCAAGCCCGTGTGGCAAGGTGGAGGGATGTGTGACCTGGACAACCTGCGGACCCTGTGTACTCCATGCCACCTGCGGGTGACGCGACGACAAGCGACACAAAGAGCCAACTACCGGAAACTGTCAAAGGCTTCTAGCTCTGGAGACATCTCAGCCTTCTTTCAGAGGACATGATGATGGGTCTTCACCAGTACGCATGATGATGGATCTTCACTAGTATGCATGATGATGGGTCTTCATCAGTACACATGATGATGGGTCTTCACCAGTACACATGATGATGGGTCTTCACTAATACGCATGATGATGGGTCTTCACCAGTACGCAAAAGACATGGGTTCAATGCCCGCTCGGGGAAGAGTATTTCACAGAATGTCTCCCTCATTTTGTTTGCTTTAGCATCCTCCTCTGTCAAAGACTTTTGGGTGTGGGGACATCTCTGCTTTTTTTCCCCCAAAGACGGGATGGGTCCTCATGGTATAAACCCTGTAGAAGTTAGCGGGCTCCCTAGGAAGATGCCCCGGTGTTTAGACCGCAGAAACCAATCATAGAACAAAGGAGACTGATTGCGCAGTTCCGTCAAACCTGGTTACCACCTCCCTTGGGACAAGCATAAAGTTTAACTCTTTGAAGACGTGCCCACTTTCCCATTTTCGATAGCCTGTGACGCCCCTTGTTAGCTCTTTTTTTTACCAGGTCACCATTTTTTCCTATCCTCTAAAAAATACAATTCCTCTATTTTTCTCTAATATCAATCAATCATTAACATTCACAATACCAGTTTTACCTTGATCAAGGCTGCAAGATCACTGTAGTTGCCCTCAAAAGAAAATTTTTTAAAATCCAGATGAGACTTGGGGGTCAGGTAGATCTAGATCGAACAACCAAAGGTACAGATTCATCATCACTATCATCTGAACTTTCTTCTTCTAACTCCACATCATCACCATCATCTATAAACAACTCCAAAGCTTATTCAGTCTGCATCGAACATCACATGGAGATTGCCATTTTTGATAGAAACTGCGACGTTTCGTGCGAAACAATGGGCTTAAAACAAACGCCATGCAAAGCTATCCTAATTCAAAAGCAAATAAAGGAAGTCATCCAAATTATAGGGCTTTGGACGAACTTTCCAATGATAAAGGGGTTGTCCACCTTAGACCACTAGTTTAACATATAAACACGTTTAATCGTCAGCGGACACGCTGACAATGGTAGGTTTCCCTGCCGCTGACGCTTCTTCAAAGAGTTAATGGTGGTTCCTCTGTTAAATAGCCCCAATTGCCCAAAGTTAAGGGAAATGATTCTCTGTGCTTGAAAAGTGGTTTGTTTTTTGTTTGTTTGTTGGTTGTTGTTGTTGTCTTTTGGGGGGAGATTTATGTGTACATAAAGTATTTAGAGCTGAGAGTCCCCCCCCCCCCCCCCCCCCCCCAATCTCTCTCTCTCTCTCTCTCTCTCTCTCTCTCTCTCTCTCTCTCTCTCTCTCTCCCTCCCTCCCTCCCTCCCTCCCTCCCTCCCTCCCTCCCTCTCTCTCTCTCTCTCTCTCTCTCTCTCTCTCTCTCTCTCTCTCTCTCTCTCTCTCTCTCCCTCTCTCTCTCTCTGTCTTTCTGGGTGTGTGCGAATTCAAACCTAGCTGAACTTCATGTAATTCCAATAAAACATTTTTTAGGGTCAGAAGCGAGGCTATATTTGTGTCAAGGTCTGTGTAGACGAACGGTCTTGTTACTAGCTAAGTACAACAAAGTCAAAGAAAAAAAGAAAAAATTCCATTTGTCTGAAAGTAGACTTTTTTTTATTAGATCAGGAAGAGCTGAAGCAACAGTGAAATGAACTGTGTAAATCCTTAAAATCGGCCAAAAATTTTTTTAATTATGTCGGTTCAAATTCATTCAAAATATAGAGAACTTCATGTAGCATGCAAAATTGGCAAAGACTAGGACTTTGAACTTGAACAATCACACAATCATATAGTATAATGACAATGAACATAACCATTTGTTATGGCTTCTGGAAGTCAAGGACAATATTGAACCATACAACGACTAAAGAAATCTTCGGGCTTCGCAGCGAAATGTTTTGCTTGACCAGGAAAGCACAGATTCAGTATAACACAATGTGCATCAGCATTTAGGAAAAAGATAGATGTGAGGCCTTCTGTTGATACTACAAGAGAATTTTTTAAAATAGTTAAATAATGATTTTTCTTGTTTCCAGTTTTCCTAAAAATTGTAATTGTTGTTGACATAGCGCAAAAAAAAAAGAGCAAAGTGGGATAACTGTTGATAAACGGCAAAATAAATAAGATTGGGATTGTCATAGAACGTTTTATTGAAAGCAATTATTACAAGTATATATTCATTATCAGCGTTTTATTTACTACACTGTGGTAGAATTTCTCTCTTTCCAATGAATGAGTTGTCGATCAACACCCATAAATTGCTTCTTGTTTAACGATCACTCCGTCAACTGGATTAAAGAGAAAGAGTGTATAAATTGTGTATCCGTGATATTTCAGTGTTGTGTGTATAATTTCTGAGATTACCACATTATGTAAAGTAATGTTATTGGACACTGATTGGCGCAAAACAACTGTAGTGTGTAACATGGTATTTCACTGTTCTGTATCTTCTTTTTTCAGATCATAAAATTATTAGTGTTTCGAAACTTCTGTCTTCAACTTCAATCTTGTGTGTACTTCATACAACACTGTCATATATTAAATTTGACATGATATTTCAGTGTTCTATTTACTTTGGATGACAATGCAATATATATGAGAATGAGGCATGCTGACAAAATGAGTTACTTCTCGCAATCCACAAAAATGAAGATATTGGCATGGCGAAAAATCAACACTAGGGTCAAATTTGTAGATTTTCTATTGATGCCTTATTCTTTTAGTACTGGTACTGTATAACATGCCTTTTAATTAATTATTTCCTAAATTGTAAAAACTTCATCAAAGTTCATCTACAAACAGGATGTCTATCTCCATAAGGCTTGAATCCAAGAAGTCACTCATTTTGTCAGCATGTTTCACATCTAAATGTACAGACTTCACCATAAGTTGAGGACCACCTTGACAGACAGCCCTCATTTGTAAAAAATCAGAAAAAAAGACAGCAAGGAATGTTTCAAAATATTTTGCTCTGATAGTGTTAATGGGTTACCAATGCGTACTGCAATGCTTCCAAAAGAAGCAAAACCATCACGTGCTGCACGGAAGTCCTCCGGGAATTCTAGCCAAATTTGCTGTTTTTTATCGACTTGTGTGCGACACCACGGACATTCCTCAGTTAAAACTTATGGTGCACGTCATAAACGGAAGTACGGCCTCGAACTTTGGTGGCAATGTAAGCCGGCGTTTGGGCAAAATCCAGTATCACATCAACGTGCCATCAAGACGAAAGCTGAGAGGCTTTGATCGTGCCAGGGCTATGGCATGGCTGCAGGATAAAGTTGGAGCCCAAGAAGTTACCAGAAGGTTTGCAGTGTCACACTCTGTCATTGTCAGCCTGAGGCAGCGCCATCAAGCCACTGGATCAGTCCAAGAACGCCCATGTGCATTTCGACCCAAGAAGACCACTCAGAGTGTTGCAAGTGGTCCTTAACTTATGTTGAAGTCTGTATATTGACCAATGCTATACAAGGCAGTCATCCATTTTAAACCTGCACTGTAATTTTTTTTTTTTTTCTTCTTCTTGACTGATGCTACACTTTATAGTGATATGATGAGCATGCACATCTGAATTAAAAATTGCCCCATATATATATATATATATATATATATATATATATATATATGACTAATACTTTAAATTTTAATGTTATGACTAGATTTTTATTGCTAGATTCAAATAAGTCTTTTCAAAAGTAGATAAGCTGGTACAGTGAAGAAGAAGGGGAAAGAGAGAGAATGATACAAGGGTTGTTCGGAGAGTAAAGTAAAAAGACGAATTAATATCAGTATTGTTTGAAATCTGAACCAGTACCGGTATATTGTAGATACATTTTACATGCACCATTCCACTCATTTACTGCACTTATTTTATAAAAGAGTGCATCTTGCTCAACTTGCTGTGACAACACAACAAATATGGCAGCTACCATTGAAATTTGAGCTGTTGTTTGGTGTTGAGACTGAGAGCAAAAGGGAATAGTCGATCTGAAATTCAATCAAAATGAATGGCCGTAATATATATAACAATGATGAGATAAGTAGAAATACATGTACATGCATCTATATCACTGGTGTAATTGGAGGATGAGCTGAGTTCAGGACGGCCACAAACTTCAACGTCACGAAACAGCATGGGGCTGATTGGTATGCTGCTCTTAAACAATTTTCTGTCGTCCGATTTCTTCTCCACTTTGTGCCCCCATCCCGTCACCTCCTTTGCCCCCTCCTCTGGACTCTTGACTCTTTCTGCAGCCTACTGCTGGTACTCCTTGGCTCCTTCTTACTAATCTTACTTCTGTCTTTGAGTCACACCTCTGATCTTAAGATAGGTAAGATTTGACACCTAGCCTTCTCGGATAAGGGCAAAAAATCTTGGAGGTCCTGTGTGCAAGTTGTGCACGTGAAAGATCCCTTTGTGGTCTAAAATCGATAAGAGTAAGCTCAGGTCGCCACTCGGGCAAAATTCAAAATTTCCTGCCAACTGATGAAAATGTTTAATGTGTCCCGCACACTCATACAGTATGACCTTATGAGCCTTATGCAGTGTTGCGAGCACCATTAAACACTTATGGTACTTTTTTTTAAAACATGTTTGCTATTGCCCTATCACTAGAGACCCCCACCAACTACAATTCAAAGTATGATTACCCAGCAAAGTGGTGGCTCGGTGGGACTTTCAAAAATTGACAGAAGAGCACAGAGTTGCAAAGAGAAACCTTAGCGGGCATCTGCTCAGACACTTCTGGAACAATGCATGGGTGGGGGTGGCAACGCTGTTTGACCAGATGGGAACTTTGGTAGAGGTAACGGAAACTTTCTTGACAACATAATCAGGGGTGATGAGACATGCGCGTGGGCTCATTACAGGACACCTGTAACAAAGAGAGACTTAGTGACATGGAAACATCCAATATCACCTCCGGCCAAAAAGCTCAAATTCAAAGTGCAGCCTTCGGCTGGATAATTGATGGCATCTGTGTTCTGGGATACAAAAGGCATTGTGTTAGTGTAGTGTTAGTAGACTTTCTACCACAAGGTCAAACTGTCAATGCTGCCTGCTACTGTAAGTTGTAAGACACTCAACAAACAGAGAGGTGGTGCTTTTTAGTTTAAGTAGAGGTTTTACGGCGCTCGGACCTGAATAAGGTCATATGAGCGCCAAGTGGTGGATGTCAACAGAGAAGTCTTTACAGGGAATCAGACTTACTCTGCTCACCTCTCTAGCTTCAGCAGTACAAAGTCTGCTTCGACTATCAAGGCACCCCGGAAATAGGGAGTCACAAGAGTGTGACAAACATACAAAAGAAGAAGAGGAAAATTACGATATTAAAGATTAGGAACGAAAAAGCAGCAGTTCCCTGTTGTTGTTCAGGCATGACATTGTTAGATCAGCCCATTTACAATTCTACTGTGCACTAGAACTAGAACGAGAAATGTCCCCCCTTTGGGAATGGCCTAAAGACACTTCAGTCAGTTGCACCGTCCTGGGGGGTGCGACGGAAGAGACCGGGACAACTGAGCAAAGGTGTCACTCATATCAGCAGCATTAAGCTACTCCGCAAATCACAAACATGACCAAAGTCAGATTCCAAAAGTATAGTTGGGAGGTTTTGCCATAAAAATTTCCTCCCCATCATAGTCCTGATCTGGCGCCTTCTGACAACGATCTCTTTGGACCCCTCAAATGACACTAAGCCAGCAACAATTTTGACGAAGACTTAATCCACGGTCAAAACTTGACTCCAAAATCTTAACGTGTATTTTTTCAAGGGGGGCATACATTCTCTCATGCATCGATTTTGAAGGTGGCTACATTAAAAAAGTAGCTCTACTCAATATTAAAATGTAAGCATCTCATGTGAAAGCTACATTTGGGTCACAATTGAATAAAACTTAATCCTTTCCTAACAACTAGGTACCGCAGGCGAGCCGTTTTCCAGGCAGACAGCTACGGCTGGAGCCAGATTTGGACAACTTCATCCAACTATTAGCTGGTTTTAATTTTTGTAAACACTAATAAAAATTATACCACTGTTTTCTGTGTCTTTCCTTCTCCATGGTGAACGAGAAACTGATACTTATGATTGCATATTTAGTTTTTAATTGACTAAAGTTTAACACGAGAAAACTCGGCCGTCTCGCAATTTTGCGCGCTTAGATTTGGGGGGGTACTTGTTTTAAATTTCGATTTCTCAGTCGTGAATCATCGAATTTTCTTGCGGTTTGAAACATAAAAATCTGGGATTTCAGGAGAATTTCCGGGGAATGTGTTTATGTTTTTATTTCGAGCGGAAAGCTTGAATGGTACGATGTAAAGACGAAGAAAGCATTTTAAAATATGAAATTCGACACAAATCGGGCTATCCGTGCCAGGATCATATTCCCAGACATCTCTACCATCAAGTTTATGTGTTTAAAAAAGCCAACTACGTTCCACGAAGTATAAATATTACTTTTTCTGAAGTGGGGTAGCAACCACTTTCGGGAGATCGTCATTCTGCCATTGCGGCTGTTCCATCGCCCAATGCCACCCCCTCTGACTTGACCCAACCAGCAGACGATTATAATGATGGTTCAGTAAAAGAAACATTAGATAGATCTGTTAATGACGTCAATTTATGGAAGTATTATCATAATTTTCTTTTAGGATACTTATGAATATCGTGTTTTGAAAAATAAGACTAATCGGCCACCTCTTGCCGTGTGGTTGGATTGTTATTGTTTGGTGGGAATCACGCCGACCTACATTTTCCCCACCTCATAGTGAATTAATTGCGATCTATACAAATGTATCGCTTCGTGGTGGTATTTTTGCTGTCTTTTCAACTAAGAACACTTTATTTATTCTAAATGCATCGAAATCTAAGCATCTCTGATCGACAAAGTGAAAAAATAAAGCCGTGAAGAGTTGAACTGGGAGTTCTATTTATAGTAACATGTCATCATGGAAATGTTCGTAGATCTATTGTTTGGCATTTAATTCGGTAACAAAAAAGGCTAGATCTACGTTCTTGATTGGTGGATATTCAATTATTGAATCAACCACCCTTTTTACGTATTCTTAGACTTAGTTAGACCTAGATGTCACCTGATAGGCTAATTGGAGAAATGCCCCCCCCCCCCACTCTTTCTTCCATCCACTTACTGGACACACGATGATACATTGTATTTCCCCAGCCACTGGTTTCTTTCTCAGCTAAACCACTCAACACAGCTCACATATGTGCCCAAGATTACAGAGAAAACATTCTGTGAAAGTGAGTGTACATACTACTACTAGTACATGACGTAGTGTGTTGATTTAATTGCCTGCAAGCTGACACCACCCCGTCTCCATTCTCGCCAACCTGCACTGAGTATGGCAAAGCAGCTCAGAAAGGTTTATTGCCCTGATTTTAAACCGAGTTCGCAGGCTCATTTATATTTCTGTACCCGCCTTTATGCAAAAAAATTATGAAATTATGCAAACTGAGCCCAAAAATGTGAAAGTATGCGATTCTGTTAATTTTAACAAAGAATGATAAAGGAAAATAATCAGAAATTACTCAAAAAAGGAACAAATTTCGCTAAATTATGCGGGGTGCATAAAACCAGAGGGACAGATATTTTTGAAAGGTTTTTAAAGCAGCAAATTGTATATATAGAGAGAAAAATCCTTCACACAGTAAAAAGCATATACATGTACAGCAGTTAGGCAAAGCATCATGTTCTTACGCTTACACGGACTGTTCTTAGGGGAAGACCACTGTGTGTGTGTGTGTGAGAGAGAGAGAGAGAGAGAGAGACTGCATGTGACTGTGCGTGGGGCTATAGCTAAAGCCAAAGCCAAAACATTACCTTTAGAACAGAGTTTAACCCTCTTTGCATCATAAATTAAATAGGTCAGCAGGTCAGCACAGCAGAACCAAAATGGCGGCCACCTGATGGCTTCCCACAACCGAATTATTTTCAGGGTTTTTTTTTTAGGAGGTTCAGGGTGTGAAGCAAAGAATTTGCGTATGATTTTGGTCTAAGCGATGGATTTCAAAAACAAAAAATTCACGTACAAGGACCTAGGACGTCAGCATCTCACTTTAAAGTGGAATGTTTTCATTTCTAGGCCTGCACTATAAAGTGCGGGTGTGTCAGGCCGGTAAAAATGGTATGACAACGTGACAAGTAGGCCGGTTCAGGCCTGTATGGTTCAAAAAGGGTTAAAGAAAGGAATACATTTATTTTAAAAGTTAAGAAAGGAAGTTTTTTCACTCTCCTGAAAATCTTACATTCCAGGTTTATAACTCCAATCATTTATGAGGCATCGCGGTGAAATCAGGCGCTTGTTAAATTAATGAAATCAAATAAACCGGCATTTTTGGGGCTGTTTGGCTTTTTTTCGAATTTTCTTTTTTTTTCTCCTAATGCTGTACTGTTTATGTCCATTTAAAAACACATTCTGAGTGGATTTGTACTCACAAACGCTGATCAAAGGCACAAAGAATGTAAATTTACAGTTTCCAATCACACTCAAGCTTTGGAAGTCACCAAACTTTGGCCGCTAATTTTACCTCTGACACCAGGTGACCCCTACCTTCTTCTATTCAAGACAGATAGATTTTTTTCACCAACTGCAAGATAAATGAACAAGCTTTAAGAGAATGATACCAATAGATTCATATGCCTAAAAATTGACGAGCTGATTCCACCGCGCCGTGACACATTTTACAATTTATAGAAAGATCCACAATAAGAAGACGTGTGCTGGGGAGACTTGTTTATGTCCTCCACCACTGCCTTTCCCGTGTCTCTGGCTACCCTTTTCGCCACAGCCTTGGCCCCAAGGCATTTTCTGTTGTAGACACATTGCAGGGCGCTGCCGGCTGTGTACACTGCGTTCTCGGTCAGCTGGCCCACCTGAGCGCCGTACTTGTGCTGCATCACCTGGACAGTCTCGTTGGCCAGGCTCCTCCCCATGGACCTTGCTGCCGAATCCAGGGCTGCGTAGACCGTGCAGAAACCTGCAGCAGTGACAGCAGAGGACTGTGATGGTATGGTTATAAATAGTACAGACGACTACGAATGAATTGATGACGGGGAAATGAAAAAAAGATTAACTCAACTCATCCGAAGTTCAACTTGACCATTGGGATCTGTAAAGAAGAAGAGGTGCTGGGACCTGAGAAAAAGATCAACTTAACCGAAAATTGACTCAAGCGAGTTCAACACAAGTGTAGTCAACTGTTACTGTAAATGTAACGTCCCCCACTTGACCCAATACACATATATCATTATCAAGGGCCATCACTGTGTGTATGCGATATTTTGGGTCGAAGTTATTAGTTATAGATTGTACTATTAGAATCCTTCCTTCGTCAGTTACGAGTACCAGGGTAATTTCTCACAACACGGCCCTACCTTAAAATTACAAGGTTTTATCTGACATTTTTGGCTATTTTGAATCACTAAGACCGTTTGGTCAGAATCCAGTTACTGTGGAAACCTGATATCACAACAGGGATGGTGGGACCAGAGAAAAAGTACTGTTATATCAGATCCCTGTTAAATCAGAATGCAAGGGAAGTAAGCACATGTGGACTAATCCAGCGGAATTTATTCATGGGTAGTTTCCCTTGCCCCAAGTACCCACGAAAAAGGTTTTGGACAAGGTAATAATTATTGCATGTTACTAATGTTAGGGCCCGCTCCATCACTGCGTTACTCTCTCTCTCTCTCTCTCTCTC